ACTGAAGCAGTGGACAACTTCTTTATGTTGACTTCAACATGATTACATATCGAAATCACAATATATGCTGGGACAAATAAAAGATGAATTTCACTTCTATGGTTTTAAAATGTGACTACTGGAAAATTTTAAATTATGTTTGTTTATATGTTTATCTATCAGTTTCACACTTTATAACACAACTGTATTGATTAGGAGAAGGTCACTGGATGGAGAGTTCCAGATTTTTAACTTCTTCTCTTTGCATTACATTAGGCAGTGTTCCTTACCCCCCTGACACTGTTACAGCCTCTGGGCATTAGAGGATAAGCCGAACTAAATCAGCTGCAGCGGCTGAGTGTAACTTTGTACTATTTGTGGTGTTGCTGGTAGAGGAGTCCCGCTGTCATCCAGTGAGGAGTCTTCAAATTTTTTTCCTTTGCTCTCATATTGCTACTAAATTTTATTTTTGACTTGTGAACATAGTTAGGAACCGGATCCACTGCCAGCATTCTCTTATGCAAAGCTGAGAGGTATGCCTCTTGTCAGACTTAATTACCCAGTTTGGTATTTTGTAACAGCTGTTGAGTGAGTCTGGAATGGTCTACCATACAAACAGGGGATGATTAGAAAGATGGAAATGGAATATGTTTTTTACCAATAGTAAATGAGGACATAAGCAGGTTTGACTTTTGGCTGTGTGATTAAAGTAGCTTTTGAAATTTTATTTGATGCACTTTTTTTTTTTTTTGTCAAGGATTGCCCAACTATTAGTAGTAACCCTAAAGTATGTCAGACTACTTTGCAGCTTCATTGTTAGCATGAGTTGGTTATTTTTCCCTTCCTATAAAATTTATGTAAGTCTAGAAAGAGACCAGTAAATCAGGTTTTAAGTAAAAGTTAAGACATTTTATTTTTATTTCTTGGTTGCAGTTTACTTATTTGCATGGGTAACATTTAAATTCATGCTATCCTTAACAATGGTGCAAAATTTTTCTCTGGTCTTTACTTAGTCCCAACTTTGGATCTCCATCCTCTCTTGCAATGACCATCAGGGTTGCTCCAGAGGCCCCTCCCCACCCCCCCAAAAAAAAAATTATAATAGATTGACAGAGAACAGCAAGGAAAGCTTAGAACCAGACAGAAAATGGTCAGCGTGGACTTATACCTTACTAGGCAGGACACAAAGATTAGTTACTCCTCTCTAAGATATTGAAGATTTCTTTGCACACCCCTCCTAAAACTGTCCTGTACCTCAACTGTTGACATATGCCTTGTTAGAGTTATAAGCCAATTTAGACTATCCTAAAATCTGCCAGGTTCAGCAAAATTATGCTTCAATACTATAAACTGTTAAATACTAAAATGAAAATAGACACGAGACAGCTATAGCCATTCTAAGGTGTATAGAAGCCAGTTGTATATAAACTAAAGTTGAAATGTCAGTGAAGTAGTCACAGGATGTGGTTAAGAACTTGCATTTTTTAACATTGGTTACTCAATACCATGTCACAAAATTCCATAATTGTAAATTGCTGTTGATGTTATTTTGTGGCTTTTAATTGATCGGGATGATATTCTGCCAGCTCTGCCTTCAGACCAGAGATGGTCTCCCCAAGAAACCATTTATTTATTTGGACATGAATTTATTTGGACAATAAGAAGCTGGACTCTGTGCTTGGTATATGCTTGCAATGAAAGAATCTTGAGTGAATGTGAATTGTGCTACTGCAACAAGGTGGAGGAATCCACCATGGGGGGGGGGTTGGGTATCTCAGAGCCTATCAAACTGTGTCCCATAATGCAATGTAATTAATGAAAAAAAAAAGGTGCAAAATTTAAAATTTTATTTAAATCATTAGCCTGAAGAAAAAAGGAATTGAAAAGTTCGACAATTGTAGAAATCTGGAGGTTTTTTGTGAATAGATACTTTTACAATATCTATCATTAGAGGTTATATGCTGACTCTGATCAGCAGTAGTTAAAAAGTGGTGGTGTTGGGCCCAGCATGGTGGCTGAGTGGCTAAAGTCTTCCCTTTGAACGTACTCAGATCCCGTATGGGTGCCGGTTCTAATCCTGGCAGCTCCACTTCCCATCCAGCTCCCTGCTTGCGGCCTGGGAAAGCAGTGGAGGATGGCCCAAAGCCTTGGGACCCTGCACCCACACAGGAGACCCGGAAGAAGTTCTTGGCTACTGGCTTTGGGCCGTTGCCCTCACTTGGGGAGTGAATCATTGGACAGAAGATCTTCCTCTCTGTCTCTCCTCCTCTCTGTATATTTGACTTTGTAATGAAAACAAAATCTTTTTTAAAAAAAGGAGGTGTTTACAAAGTGTGTGAAGTATTCTTAGACACTTCACATTTAGTACATTATTGTAAATTGATCTGAGAATAGGCTTTTAGATTGTTACATGTGCGTAGTGTTATTTGAGTTAGTGAATAAAAGTAACAAGAAGTAAAATTGGTACTAAACATCAAAAAAGGGAAGAAAGTGGTGCTTTCCTTCACAAACTAGTGGCTTGCAGAGTAACTTTATTTTACACTTCTACTTTCGTGGAAATTTACAGTTTTTATGCTTTCTGAATTATATACTAGTATAGGCTTCATGAGGGCACAGAACGTACTCTCATTTGTGTCTCAGGGCCTGGAAACACTCAGATCCCATGAGTTGATGGTATGTAGAGTTTTAGATCATTTGGTTGAAAACTCATAATTTATGAATACTTTATAGTCTCATCCTAAATTTAAAGCATGAGTAAATTTTACTAAGTTTTTGTGCATTCCATTCTGTAAGTATCTACTTCTGGGGAGCAGGGATTGCTTCCTGGCCTTGACTAAGGTCATATGTAGTATCTGTTATCAGTTTAGTATCTACTTCTGCAGTAGCATATGTTGAATTTGGGAGGAATGACAGGCTGAGGTCAGAAACATGAGCAAGAAAATATACTTTTATAAACTTGATCTGAAGTCATTGTTTACAAATTTACCTAAGAATTTAGGGCACATAATATGTAACTGTCAGACAAATTCCATTTTGTTGACATTTTGAAACTTGATAAAAATTTTTTGTTATTAGATTCTGAATACTTGGAGTTCTGATTTTAATACGGTAGCGATTCTAGGGTGTGCCTTAATACAATTACATAAGGAGTTAGTTTATCCAGGGTGGTGTTATTAATAGCACTGAAGACAACAGCTAAATTACTACTGCATCAGACAGGCTCTAAAAAAGAATGATTACTGGAATAAACTTTTAAAACCTGAGAATTGGTTTTCCAAGTTAGTTGTTAGCAAGTGTATTGTAGAGAGGTCCTTTGAAAAAAAATTTTGAGAATGATAGTATGTTTTATTCTTAATACTTCTTTTTTTTGTAGAATGTATTTTTAAATTGTTATTATTTTTCTTGACCTAGTTTTATAGTTTCTTAAAGTTGAACTAGAAGGACTGATTGAATTCTTTGGTTCGGTGAAGCCGCAGATAAGAGTAAGCCAGGTCACCTAAAGATAGATTTACTGAGAGGTTTGGCTGCCTCTCTGGAACCATTTAGCTTTGAGCAGATTTCCATAAATGGAAAGAGCAACTGGAGAGACCCAGTACCTTGGTTGAGAGTGTGGATGATGTGCAACAGGTGGTAAAACAGTCCCTGGATTTGAAAAATAAATGCTCTCCAAATGTCTGATGGTTAGTCTGGGGCTTTAGCATTTGGCAATTTTTGAAATAGATGGATTCCCTGCGCCGCGCCCCCCCCCCCCCGCCCTTGCCCACCCCCCACCCCAGTTAAAAGTTTACTGGAAACAGTTGAAAAAGATTGATATCTTTCATAAGAATTTGTAATATTTTGTGAAGTGTGTGTAAACGTTTAGTATGCAACTCGAGAAAAATATATCCCCTTAGAAGCATCTATGTTCATTTGTCCGAACCTGTTACCAGATAAACAGGCCAGTATTTTTAAGTCAGAATGTGAAGTTTGTTTGTTAAGACAGTAACATTGTTCATGAATTGCCAGCTTTCCTGTAAGCTCAGTGGATTGTCCTACATGTTTACTATGTGCTGTATTAGGAACCACATCGAGCTTAAAGATGAGTTAAGATAGCCCCCTGACTTCAGGAAGCTTTTAATCTCAAAGGAGCAATAAATTATCACCATTTACTGAGTTCTTTCTTATATGCCAGACACTGTGCTTTTTAATGGGAATGACTTCTCTTAATTCTTGCAGTTGTTTGAGGTAAATAATATTCCTGTACTGTCAAAGAGAAAAACCTGGGTTTCAGAGTGCTTGTGTTCTCGTCTCTGTTATCAAAGAAGTGGTAGAGACTGGAAGAAAGCTCAGTTCAGTGCTGTACACGTCAGTGTTTCACAAGTAACCAGATCAGCAAAGCATACAGAAAGTTCAGTGGGTGGTAGAATTAGGAAAACTTTCATGGGGAAAAACATTTTCTTAGGTTAAAACTAAGCGAAGTCCAGGAAGGCTCCCCTGAGCAAGGTTAGTGTGAAAAAAGTCTCTGGTGTTCTGGCACGAGGCTGAGGCTCGTTTTCAGGCCCGCCTGAGAGTGTTTATCGGGGTATCTGAAAGAAGCAAACCATTTCATTGTGTATGCTGAGACACAGGGTGAGTCTGACATTCTGCTAGGTTATTCTTGGCTTTAAATGAGGCAATAATATAGCAAAATATGTGTTTGACCTTATAGGATTGATAATCTATAACCATCTTCTCTCTGCCTGGCCCTGGTGCTGTCCCCCACCCCAATTAGTTTTGGCCTAAAGTTGACACAGAGTACAAATTTCAAGGGTCTTTGTTTTCCTTTGAGTAAGATCCAGAAACTTATTATTAATCCCTAATCAGCCTCATTTAATTAGTGTTTTGCAAAGGGTAGGCATTAATCTTTGTTTTTTGATTTAATCTGTAGATTTACAGATTAGTGCTTGGAACTTAATGTGTGTTTATTTCTTCAGTGGTGATATGTTTTGAGTTTAGTTATGTGTCTGATGTATTTCTAATGGAGAGTTTGTTTTTCCCCCCAGTGGAAGCATCAGTTCATAGCAGCAATGCACACTGTACGGATAAGACCATTGAAGCTGCTGAAGCCCTGCTTCATATGGAATCTCCTACCTGCTTGAGAGATTCAAGAAGTCCCGGTAGGTGCACTCTTTGTTTTTAGATTAGATCACGTTTCTTCACATATCTAGAATGAAATTATTTGTTGTTGTCTTTTAAAAGATGAATTTATTTAAGAGAGAGAGAGAGAGACAGAGGTCTCCTCTCTTCTGGTTTCTTTACTCCCCAGAGACTGTGACAGCCAGGGCTAAAACAGGCTGAAGCCTGGAACTTCGTTGAGGTTCCACCATGGGTTGCAGCGGGCATCATCCTTTGGACCATCTGCTGCTGTTGTTACCAGGCCATTAGCTGGATGGGAAGTGAAAAGCTGGAACTCTTGACCTGTGCTCATATGAATGCTCAAGTCACAGGCATTGGCTTGAGTTGCTATGCCCAAACGTCTGCCTCTGGTTTTTTGGTTTTATTTGTTTTGGTTTTATTTTAGATGCAAGTGATATAGAAAATGTCCACTATAGATAGGTAGCTGTCTATTAAATAGGTGTTAATGCTCCTTTTCCTGTTTCCTTAAGTCTGGGTAAACGATAAGCTTTTATAATCCTTAAGAAGTGGCAGTTGAGGAGTTCCCTTCTGGGACTACTCTGAATACTTTATTAAATGATAGGGATTTCAGGCCAGTGCAGTGGCTCAAATGGCTAGTCCAATCCTTCTTGCCTTTGTAGTATAAAATAAATAAATCCTTTTTTTTTTTTTAAAGATAGTTGTGGGCCTGGCTCCCTGGCTAAAGTCCTCGCCCTATATGTGCCAGGATGCCATATGGGACACTGGTTCATATCTTTGGGCGGGCAGGGGGCACTTGCCATCCAGCTCCCTGCTTCCCAAAGGCTTGGGATTCTACCCATATGGGAGGCTCAGAAGAGTCTCCTGGCTCCTGACTTCGGATAGGCAGTTCTAGTTGTTGCAGTCACTTGGGTAGTGAATCAGCAGATGGAAGATCTTCCTTTCTGTCTCTCCTCCTTTGTATATCGGACTTTCCAGTGAAAACAAAATATTTAAATTTAAAAAGAAAATTAAAAAAAATTATTCTTATTTGAAAAGCAGATTTTTATAAAGAGAAAGAGACAGAAAGGACTTCAATACACTGCTTCATTCCCCAAATGGCTGCAGTAGACAGAGCTGGGCTGATTTGAAGTTGGGAGCTTCCTCCCAACATTCCACGTGGGTGTAGGGGCCCAAGTCCTTGGGTCTGACGGTTTTCCTCTGTTTTCCTAGACCATAAACAGCTGGATTGGAAGTGGAGCAGCCAGGATATGAACTGGTGCCCATATGGGATGCGGGAGCTTGTGGGCAGAGATGATTAATTTGTTATACAACCATGCTGGGCCCCCCACTACTGCTTAATTGTTAAGAAAATTTATTAATCTGTTCAAAGGACAGAATGAGATGGGGAGAGATGGAGAAAAAAGATCTTTCATCCTCTGGTTTACTCTTTTTTTTTAAGATATGTTTTATTTTATTAGAAAGTCAGATACACAAAGAGGAAGATCTCCTGTCTGATGATTCACTGCTAAAGTGGCTACCATGGCTGGAACTGAGCCAAGCTGGAGCTGGGAGCCTCTTCAGGGCCTCCCACATGGGTGCAGGGTCCCAAGGCTTTTGGGCTCTACTGTTTTCCCAGGCCGCAAGCAGGGAGCTGGATGGGAAGTGGGGCTGCCGGGATAAGAACCGGTCCATATAGAATCCTGGTGCATACAAGGTGAGGACTTTAGCTGCTAGGCTACTGCTCCGGGCCCTGGTTTACTGTTGAAATGGCTGCTACAGAGAGGTCTGGGCCAGGCCAGAGCCAGGAGCCAGAAACTTCATTTTGAGTATCTGACCTGGTGGGCAGGGACTCAAATACTCAAGCCATCTTTACTGCCTTCCCAGGTACATTAACAGGAGGCTAGATCGGAAGTGGTTTAGGAGAATCAGTGCTGTGATATGTTATGGGGGCATCACAGATAGCTTAATGTTCCAGGGCAGAGGTCCCTGAGCAGAATTATCATATGCAGTAGAATGACAGATAGCAGTATATATGTACTGTTTCAACCATTCCCCCCCTTCAAACATCAGAACTGGTATAACATTTTGAGTACTGAAAGAAAGTGTTTATTGGTCTGTAGAAACAGGCTTAAACTAAAGTTAGTTTTCTTAAACTAAAGGTACACTTAAGCTTTTTACTGAATATATTTGTAAATATTTTTAAATGTACAAATTTTGTGTATATACTACCTCAAGAATAATGATATAAGGAAATTACTAAATAATCCACTCCTATATTACTATTTTCCAGTGTTTTCTCAAATGTCAAAATGGTTCACAAAGTTTCTCTGTAATGAGCTTAAAAGTGTCTAACAGTAAGAAGGGTTGATGATTACTCAGAATTTTCACCTTGCCTAGAGATTACATTGTTGATTTTCTTAACATTTATTTCCTTGCATACTTAGATCATGAACATCCAATTAACTCCTTTAGGATTTATGCTTTTATATTGCTTTTGATTAATTAGTAAATGTCTTCTGAATATTGCACTGTCCACATAAGGAGTAAAAATAGGGGTGGGAAGTTTTAATTTTTCAACTTTTTTTTATAGTGGAAGTGTTTGTCCCTCCTTGTGTATCAACTCCAGAATTTATCCATGCTGCCATGAGGCCTGATGTCATTACAGAAACTGTAGTGGAGGTGTCAACTGAAGATTCTGAACCGATGGATACCTCTCCTATTCCTACGTCACCAGATAGCCATGAACCAATGAAAAAGAAAAAAGGTAAAGTACATCAATTTCTGAGAAAGAAGAAAATAATAATTTGTATATGCTGTAGACTTCAGATTAATGTTATCTCAACTAGGTATTCTCAGTTTAGCAAACTGAGATTTCAATTTTTTGTTTTAACATTTGCACTAATATTAAGTGGAAGTAACATTTAAGGTATGTTGCGTGTATGAAATTTTTGAACAGGCGTTGGACACTAAAGGAAAATCAGAGTTTGCTTGTGTATTTGTCTTTTCTTTATTTTTCCTTTCTTTTAGCAATTGAACCTTGTAAAAATTTTTGTTTTATTTATTTGAAAAGCAGAACCAGAGAAGAAGAGAAAGAGGTCTTTGAATAGCTGGTTCACTTCCCAGTGGCTACATTGACTGTGGCTTGGTTAGGTTGAAGCCAGGCGTTTCATCCAGGTCTCTCACCTGGGAACAGTGGCCCAAGGACTTGTGCCATCTTTGTTTTTTATTTTTTTATTTATTTTTTAAGATTTATTAATTTTATTGGAAAGTGAGATTACAGAGAGAAGGAGAGACAAAGATTTTTTCTGCTGGTTCACTCCCCAAGTGGCTGCCATGGCAAGAGCCAAGCCTATCTAGAGCCAGGAGATCCTCTGGATCTCCCACACTGGTGCAGGGTCCCAAGGCTTTGGGCTGTCCTCAACTGCTTTCCCAGGCTACAAGCAGGGATCTGGATGGGAAGTGGAGCTGCCAGGATATAAGCTGGTACCCATATGGGATCCCAGGGAATGCAATGCAAAGATTTAGCCACTAGGCTACTGTGCCAGGCCCTTGTGCTATCTTCTATTGCTTTCCCAAGAGCATTATCAGGGAGCTGAATTGGAAGCAGAGCAGCTGGTGGCTTAGGCCATTACACCAAAATGGTGACACCCCCCTCCCCCAACTTCCCTACCCCCAGCCTTTTTCGTTCTTCTTTTCTTTTTGAATCATTCTTTATTAATTTTTCAGTCTTATTCTCCTTTTTCTGTGATGGGACATTTTTAAAAGCTCAGTAGTGGGCCGTTATTTTAATGTGTACACCATTAGAGTATTGGGTTTGAGCTCCTGAGTCCAGCTTCCTGCATATGTGATTCTGGGAGGCCAGGATGGTGGCTTGAAAAACTGGCTTCCTGCCATTCATGGGTTGAGTTCCCAGCTTTGACTTGGGCCCAGTCTTGGTTGTCACGGCCATTTGGGCAATGAACTATGGAGGGGAGTGCTCTGTCTTTTCTTCTGTCTCCTGTGTCTTCTTTTCTTATGTGTCTTTGTCTTTCAAATAAATGAAAAAGGTTTTTTAAAATGCTGATACTATTGTTTTCCTCATACCCTGCTCTTTAAAATGCTGAGGTTGCCAGTAGACACTTGGAACTGGTATAAAACTGAGCAGTGAGTAAAGAGCATTTCTGCTGTTGGGTGCCTGCCGAAACACCTGCTCAGTTGATCTTAATGGGTAAACATAAGGATGCAACACATCTCAACGTCACACGGAAATGGACAAGTCAGTGAGCCTTTCCTGTTCAAATCAAAGGCAAAGGTTGAAAGAAATGAAATCCTAAAATGAGCACTCAGTTTAATTCTGCTTTATTTTCTATCTCTTTCCTTCGCATTTTAGAGTTGGGGAATAAACAACAGCAGCAGCAACAAAGCGAAAAGCATGTTAGAACAAATGGTATTTGTCAACATGGTATTTTATATTGCTGTAATGTGCACTGCATTGTGCTTATTACTACTTTATGATAGACAATGAAGAAGAATAAGACTTTCTGCCCTTGTATGTTGTGGTAATGAAGTGACATACAAAGTTAGAAAGACATTTTGCTTGGTTTTAGATTTATTCATTTGAAAAGCAGAGTTACAGAGAGGAGAAGTAGATCTTCGATCTGCTGGTTCATTCCCCTAACTGACCATGATGGCAGCTGGGCTGGGCTTGAAGCCACCATCCTGGAACCCCGTGTTTTCCTTGTGGGTGGCAGGAGCCACTTGGACCATCTTCCTCTGCTTCCCCAGGCAGTAACAGGGAGCTAGATCAGAAGCTGAGTGGGTGGTTCTCCAGTTGGAGCTCTTGCAGGCATTCCTGCAGGAATCTTAGGTTTGCAGGCATCAGCTTAACCTGCCACACCACAAAGCAGACCCCTATAGGATTTAAAAAACAAAACAACACAACACAACAAAACCGGGGAGTTAGCCTTTTCATTTCTAGAACCTTATAATGTACATTTGAATCTCCAAGAGAAAATACCATGTACTGTTTTGAAAAGAGTTGGACTTTTACCTCTTTCCTGCATACCCCATTTCTCCCAAGATTTTGGAAATGCTGTTTTACAGAAACAAGAAGCCTTATGGGGCAAACCTCTTTTAAACTGAACTTCTGTGCTTGAATTTAGGAGATGGTGAAACCATTAGTTTTATCGATGATTCATCCATACATGTATTACTTAAATTGGGAAATGAAGCTCTAATATGGAGACCAGTGAATTCTAATTTTTACCAAAGCATGTTTCTTATTTAGAATCACCAAAACAAAATCTTGGAATATATTTGTACATTTTGAAATATAAGTTGGGACACTTTTGCATACCTCTTTTATTTGAAAAAAAAAATTGTTAATTTGAAAGGTAGATTTACAGAGACCGAGGCTCTGTCCAAGGATCACTTCCCAGATGACTGCACTGGCTGGGCTGGGCTGAGACCAAGAGCTTCATCCAGGTTCCCCTGTGGGTAGCCAAGGCCATCTTCTGCTTTCTCAGGTGCATTAGCAGGGAGCTGGACTGGAAGTGGAGCAGCTGGGACTCGGGAGATGCCAGCATGGCACTGAAGGCAGGGGCTTAATGGACTATACCACAATTCTGGCCGTTCATTTAACTCTTTATGTACTTAATCAAAATACTGCTTGCAAGTGCAGGAGAGAATATCAGAAATTCCAGATGCATGATAATGATGATACATTTAATCTAAAAATATACTTGAATGTTCCCAATGAATTTGTTTTTAACAAAAAATAATAGCATTTGTTTTTATTACATTAATGTAAAAAAAACGCTAACAGATCTAAACATGTAAGTCATAGGTTTGTAATGCCTTATTTATCATGAATGTTGAAATTACTGGCTATGCTGTAATCTGAAATTGTGTAAATCTTCCTAATGTGCATTTCGAAGCAACTTTTCATGTACATTGAGTATTTTAGTCCACAGATTACTGTTTGCTCATGACTAGTTGTTATAGACTCTGCTAATCATGCTTCTGTTTTCCTGTTTTTAACATATGGTTCATTATTTTGTTTTTCAGTTGGCCGTAAACCAAAGACCCAGCAATCACCAATTTCAAATGGGTCTCCTGAATTAGGTATCAAGAAGAAACCCAGGGAAGGAAAAGGTAATTTGGGAGGGTCATTTTGGAGGTGAGGTTTGAATTTTCAGGTGACGTTTTTTTTGCACTTGTAAGAAAATGTTTTCTCACTCAGGCCTATGGGAGCATAAGGATAGATTAGTGTCACCAGCTGGGGAGCTTTTTCAATACACTGTGGTACTTCAGAGTTCAGGAGCAAAAGAAATGGAAAGATCAGTGTATTCTGTAGCAAAAAAAAAAATCCTTTTCATAAACATTTTCTTTGTGTGTTTTGCAAACTTTAGTTTGTTACGTTGCTACCCCCACAGGGGCTCTGCAGCTTTAGCCGCAGAAAGCAGAGGAAGGAGAGCATGCAATTCTATTCGAAAAGTGCTGGAGGCACACATTATTTATTTATTCATTCATTCACTTATTTTGTTCTTTCCTTTCTTTTTTTTTTTTAAGATTTGCTTATTTTTTATTGGAAAGGAAGATGTACAGAAAGAAGGAGAAAAGACAGGGAAAAAGATCTTCCATCTGCTGGCTGACTCCCAAAACAGCCACCATGGCTGGAGCTGCGCCAGACCAAACCAGGAGGTTCTAGGTCTCCATGTGAGTGCAGGGTCCCAAGGCTTTGGGCCATCCTCAACTGCTTTTCCAGGCCACAAGAAGGGAGCTAGATGGAAAGTGGGGCTGCTGGGACATGAACCAGCGCCCATATGAGATCCCAGCATGTTCAAGGTAAGGATTTTACCTGCTAGGCCACCGCGCTGGGCCCACTTTATCACATTTTTGCTTTAGAGTTCCTTATGTTGTTATTAAAAGATAAGTGATGGGCCCAGCGCAGCAGCCTAGTGGCTAGAGTCCACGCCTTGAACATACCAAGATCCCATGTGGGTGCTGGTTCTAATCCCAGTAGCCCCGCTTCCATCTAGCTCCCTGCTTGTGGCCTGGGAAAGCAATCAAAGATGGCCTAAAGCCTTGGGACCCTGCACCCGTGTGCGAGACCTGGAAGAGGCTCTTGGCTCCTCGCTTTGGATTGGCGCAGCTCCAGCCATTGTGGCCGTTTGGGGAGTGAGCCATCAGATGGAAGATCTTCCTCTCTCTCCTCCTCACTGTATATCTGATTTTGCAATAAAAATAAATCTTTAAAAAAAAAAGGAAAAAGAAAGTGGTAACAACTCCAACTCTGTTTTTGCTTTATTGGGTAAGATGATTTTGAGTAACATTTTAATAACTGGCTTTAAGTTTCTGATAACCAAAAATTGATATAACTTTCCTGAATAAGTATTTTCAAATTAATATACAATAAATTTTGCACTCAAATTGCAATTTAGTCCATTTTAATAGCTGGCTTGACATAATTTTAATTAAAAGCTAGTTAAGGTCCTGGCGCAGTGACCAGGCAGCTAAAGTCCTCACCTTGAATGCGCCTAGGATCCCTAATGGGCACCAGCCCCATTTCCCATCCAGCTCCCTGCTTGTGGCCTGGGAAAGCAGTTGAGGACAGCCCAAAGCTTTGAGACCCTGCACCCGTGTGAGAGACCTGGAAGAATTTCCTGGCTCCGGATTGGCGCAGCATCGGCCATTGTGCTCACTTGGGGAGTGAACCATCGGATGGAAGATCTTCCTCTCTGTCTCTCCTCCTCTCTGTATATCTGACTTTGCAATAAATAAATAAAATAAATCTCCTCCCAAAAAAAGGTAGTTAAAAATGAAGTCTGTAGTGTTCTTGGATTTGGTATTAAGTTAGGCAAACAAAAAGAAAACTGGTTATTTTGGAGATTTATTTTATTCAGGAACTGATTATTTGGGCATATTTGGAATCCCCTGCTTTTTTCCCTCTATGTATTTGGCCATTTCACATTTCTAAAATACCTTAGGTTTTGTCCTTTATGTTTTAAACTGTATAGTTGTTACATGGTAGTAGCAATTAATAAAAAGTGCCACTTGGGGCCGGCATCCTGTCAAGATGATCTAATCTTCCACCTGCAAGTGCCAGCATCCTGACGGGCGCTAGTTGGTATTCCAGCTACTTCACTTGCCATCCAGCTCCCTGCTGTGTGCTAGGAAAGTAGTAGAGGATGGCCCAAAGCCTTGGGCTTCTTGCACCCACATGGGAGACCTGGAAGAGGCTGCTCCTGGATCTTGGTTTTGGATTGGCTCAGCTCCAACCATTGTGGCCATATGAGTACTCATTCAGCAAATGAAGACCTTTCTGTTTCTCCTCGCTGTGAATCTGCCTTTGCAGTAAAAATAGATCTTTTAAAACTTTTTTAAAAAGATTTATTTTTTATTGGAAAGTTAGATATACAGAGAGGAGGACAGGAATATCTTCCATCCATTGATTCACTCCCCAGTCGGCTGCAACGGTCAGAGCTGAGCCGAAACACAGGAGCCAGGAGCCTCTTCTGGGTCTCCACATGAGTGCAGGGTCCCAAATCTTTGGGCCATCCTCGACTGCTTTGCCAGGCCACAAGCAGGGAGCTAGATGGAATCAGGGCTTCCAGGACATGAACAGGTGCCCATATGGTATCCTGGCATGTTCAAGAAGAGAACTTTATCTGCTAAGGTATCGCGCTAGACCCCTAAGAACTTTTTTTTAATGATAAAGTTAAATATAGAATTATTACTGTTACCATGAGCAGTGTCTCTATACTCGAAGACCTTGTGGTTTAACACTGGTGCAAAGTGATTACCATTTTTACCAATCAAAATTATCATTCATTAATTTTCAGTTATGTGCTACTAAACTCGAAATAGTATGTTGTAATGTGATTGGTTATTAAAGATAAATTTAGGCTCAAAATGCCAGCCATTATTTCTTCATTTGTAAAAGTATATTAATAACTGTTACATACCATACCTAGAAAACTTGCCTTTCTAAATCTTGTTTACCTTAAAAGTTTTAACTTAGGGTTGGGAACTCAGTGAATATTTGAGAAATCTAAGAGGCTGGTTAATTAAACAAATGAGAAAGCATTTAAATCCCTGTTATGTACAAGGCATTGTCGTTGTTGCCAAAAACATCTTCCAAGATCAGATCTCTGGTTACCTTCACTGTATCTGCTCATAGGACCCGATATTCCCCGACAGTGTACCTCGCTACACATTTTGATGGAATTGAAGGTTGTACATGGCTCAGTAATTGTAGCGATGATATAATGAGGTTTCAAAGAATTCCCATTCACTAGTGCATTTCCCAGTGCCTACAGGAGCGAAGGCTGGCTCATGCTGAAGCCAGGATCCAGAAACTCAACCCAAATCTCCCAGTGGCCCATAGGAATGCTAGGGGACTGAAGTATCTGAACTTACCACTTACTGCCTCCTAGGGGGGGCATGTTAGCAGGAAGCTACAGTCAGAGCAGGAATTTGAACTGGGGCGCTTAGATGTATTCACAAGCACTACAAGGGGTTAATCAATAACTGTTCCAAAGGCTTGCCCTCATGAAGACACCAAGAATGAAAACTGATAGAATAGTATTGGCTTGATTTAGAAATTCCTCAGTCTGGGCCAGTGCAATTGGTTAATGGCTAAATCCTCATCTTGCAATCACCCAGATCCCATATGGGTGCCAATTCAAGTCTCAGCTCTGGCTGCTGTGGCCATTTAGAGAGTGAACCAGCAGATGGAATAGTCTTCACTCATTGTCTCTGTAAATCTTCCTGCCTGCCTTCCTGCCTGCTTTCCTTTCTTTTTCTTAACATTTATTTTACTTTTATTGGAAAGGCAGATATATAGAGAGGAGAGACAGAGAGGAAGATCTTCCGTCCGATGTTTCATTCCCCAAGATGCAGCAATGACTGGAGCTGAGCCAATCCGAAGCCAGGATCTTCTTCCTGGTCTCCCGCACGGGTGCAGGGTCCCAAGGCCCTGGGTCGTCCTCAACTGCTTTCCCAGGCCACAAGCAGGGAGCTGGATGGGAAGTAGAGCAGCTAGGATTAGAACCGGGGTCCATATGGGATCCCAGCACGTTCAAGGCGAGGACTTCAGCCGCTGCTCCATCATGCCTGGCTCTAAATCTGCCTTTCTAATAAAGATGAATAAATCTTCTAAAAAAATTCTTGCTCTTAGTTATTCTTCAATGTAGTGTGTAACTTGGATTTGAATTTAAGGATGGGAAAGGCTCAAATGGTAGGAACCTGGCAACACACTTGCAATTTTTTTTTTAAGATTTTAAATTTCTTTTACTTGAAAGAATTAGAGAGAAGGAGAGACAGAAACAGGGAGAGAGAGCATGCATTGACTGGTTCACTCCCCAAACAGTTGTTAAGGACAGAGCTGGGCTGGTCTGAAGCTGGGAGCCAGGAATTTCTTCTGGATGTCTCACATGGATGCAGGGGCCCAAGGACTTAGACCATCCTCTGTTGTTTTCTCAGATTATAAACTGAGAGCTGTTTTGAAAGTGGACAGCTGGGACATGATCCAGCACCACAAGTAGAGGATTAGCTTGCAATGCCACTGTATCATCATATAGTATATGTGTTTTCCCTTTTCCTTCTCAGTTCTCAGTGCTTGTTTCAATTCAGGAAGTTTTATTTTTACAAAAAAGAAATCACTATTTTTCTTAAACACAGAGAAAAAGACAAAGAAGATTTTCCAGACATTGGTTTTCTTTCCCAGTGGCTGTATAGAGACTATGAAGGGCATAGAAGAAAAAATACCCGATCTTGAGATTTATTATTTATTTATTTGAAAGAGTTTGGAGTAGGGGGAGATGCAGACATGTTCTGTCCCCACATGACCAGTACAGCCAGGAGCCAGGAACAGCAGCCAGGTCTCCGGTGTTGGTGGCAGGGGTCCAAATATTCTGGCCATTCTCCTTTCCTAGCACATGAGCAGATGGTTAGATTAGAAGTAGAGCAACTGGGACTCAAGCCGACCCTCGTGTTGGAGGCCAGGAGTAGGCATTGGCTGAACCCATTGGGATATAATGAGAGCCCCAGGAATACCAATTTTTAAAACTAGCAACAGGATTTTTATGTTATAAGGAAGGATATTTTATTTGCTTTTAACTATAATTCTGAAGGATTTTAAATCAGTGTCATTGTTTTTGCTTTGTTTTTAAAGGAAACACAACCTACTTGTGGGAGTTTCTTTTAGATCTACTTCAAGATAAAAATACTTGTCCCCGGTATATTAAATGGACTCAAAGAGAAAAAGGCATCTTCAAGCTCGTGGATTCAAAGGCTGTCTCCAAGCTTTGGGGAAAACATAAGAATAAGCCAGACATGAACTATGAGACTATGGGACGAGCTTTGAGGTAAGAACACAGGTTAATATTCAAACAAAATTGTTACAGTCTTTTCCTATCCAACAAGTTATATTACCTGTTAGCTGTTTTATTTGTTTATTTTTAAAGTTTCATTTATTAGAAAGTTAGTGTGACAGAAAAAAATGGAAGAGATCCTTCATTCACTAGCTCCTTCTTCCGGTGTGACAGCTGGTGTTCAGTGGAGCCAGGCCCTCAGCCTGTCTCCCATGAGGTGGCAGGGGCCCACGTACTCGAGCCAGGAACTGCTTGCATCCCAAGGTGTGAATTAGTAGGAAGCTGGAATTGCAAGGAGACAGGGCTTGAATCCAGGTCCTCTGAAGTGAGATGCAGATGACTCAAGGTTCATCATCTTAATCACCCCGCCACACACCACTTCCAGCTGTTTAAAGGGAAATTTTAAATCCCTTATTATGCCTGGTGCAATAGCCTAGCAGCTAAAGTCGTTTTGCCTTGAATACACCAGGCTCCCATACGGGCACTGGTTCATGTCCCCAGAGCTCCACTTCCCATCCAGCTCCCTGCTTGTGGCCTGGGAAAGCAGTTGAGGACGGCCCCAAGTCTTGAGACCCTGCATCCGCATGGAAGACGGGGGGGGGGGGTGCGGGGAAGATGTGTGGCTCCTGGCTTCCGATTGGCTCAGCTGCGGCTATTGTAGCCACTTGGAAAGTGAATCAACTGATGAAAGGTTTTTTTCTTGTCTTTGCTCCTCTCTGTATATCTGACTTTCCAATAAAAATAAATAACTTTTAAAAAGAAATCACTTATAATTTCAGGTATTCAAGAGGAGCTTCTTTAGTTTGGAAGTAGACGTTAAGAGGAGTTAGTCTAGTTACTGGAAATGTCAACATTGCTGGGAAATCCATCTTTTTTTTTTTTATATTTATTTATTTTTATTACAAAGTCTGATATACAGAGAGGAGGAGAGACAGAGAGGAAGATCTTCCGTCCAATGATTCACTCCCCAAGTGAGCACAATGGCCAGTGCTGTGCTGATTCGAAGCCGGGAACCAGGAACCTCCTTCGGGTCTCCCACATGGGTGCAGGGTCCCAAAGCTTTGGGCTGTCCTCGACTGCTTTCCCAGGCCACAAGCAGGGAGCTGGATGGGAAGTGGAGCTGGTGCCCATATTGGATCCTGGCATATTCAAGGCGAGGACTTGATCTGCTAGGCCATGTCGCCTGGCCTGGGAAATCCATCTTAGCAAAAAAAAAAAAAAAAAAAGTACTTTTTTGGTTACATTTATTTCTTAATACAAATTGTAGGCATTAAAAAAAATTGAACCCAAAGTTAACAGTTTCCCAAGGTAATTTTCCCTTTAGGCCTTTGAATTTGTTATAAATAGATTCATTTTGATATGAAAATATCTCTTAAGTCATATTAGTTTGAGAAACTCCAAAAAGTTTTTTCTTTTGTAAGACTTGCTTATTTTTATTTGAAAGGCAGATTTACAGAGAGAGGAGAGACAGAGATGGAAATGTTCCATCTGCTGGTTCACTTCCCGAATGGCTGCAGTAGCCAGACCTGGTCTGAAGCCAGGATCCTCCAACCCTCCCATGTGGGTGCAGGGGCCCAAGCACTTGAACTATCCCCTGCTTTCTCAAGCACATTAGCAGGGAGCTGGATCAGAAGTGAGCAACTGGGACTTCATTTGATACCCATCTGGAATGCTGGCACCACAGATGGAGGCTTACTATGCCAGGGCATTTGTCCCCCCAAAAGCTTTTACTGAAATGTACAAGATTTCTTCTTAATCAGGGTAAACCTGGTTTCGTGTTTGTTCACAGAGCTTGCACATTTATCTCTTCTAAATGTGACAGTTCTTATATAAAACATCTATTTGCTGAGTTAGAATTTCTACCGATATCTGTAAAATAATCTGAGAATGAATTTATGGTAACTTTGTAGATACCAGGGGTGTAGGACCCAAAGCTCCAGTCATTCATACTTGGTACCTCTACCCCTTTTTGCAGTCCAGGCAGTAAGAGCTTCTTCTTTCTCATCTCTTCCAAAAATAAGTGTTTTTACATTCCACATGAGTTGGGTGTATTTGTTTGTTTATTTTTTTTAATGGGGGAAAAAATTAAGCCGTGCACTTGATTAATTGTTTTGTCCCTGTACAGATACTACTACCAAAGGGGGATTCTTGCCAAGGTTGAAGGACAGAGGCTTGTGTATCAGTTCAAGGATATGCCCAAAAACATAGTGGTCATAGATGATGACAAAAGTGAGCCCTGTAATGAAGACTTAGCGACGGCTGCTGAAGAGAAGTCCTTGGAACGAGTGTCACTGTCTGCAGAAAGTCTTCTGAAAGCTGCAACTTCTGTTCGTGGGGGGAAAAATTCATCTCCTATAAACTGCTCCAGAGCAGAGAAGGGTGTCACTAGAGTTGTGAATATTACTTCCCCTGGTCATGATGCCTCGTCCAGGTCTCCTACCACCAGCACATCTGTGTCTGCCACGGCAGCTCCCAGGTAAGTGAGGCGCACACTCTTTGAGTTACAGTATATTCATCTTTCTAGAAAGGATCCTTGGTAAAACGCTCTAAACTTGTAGTTGTCAAGACTTTAAAAAAACAGCTGGACATTTTTTAATGTATTGTTGAAATAGATCTGTTGACTAGAATTATTTGTGTTCTGTGCTTCTATAGATGGAACTTCAAGTGGGCTTTAGTTTTTATTTTGTTTTTAAAATATATTTTTTCCGTAGCTCTTCAGATTCTAAACTTCAGGGATTGCCAATACTTCAGTGACATTGTGGAGCACTAGTTTTATGCATTGTGGAATTGCACTCATCTTTTTGCATAGGAGACCTATGTTCTAATGAAGAGTTATATATCAACTCCTTTTCTTCTTAATCTACTAGGACAGTTCGTGTGGCAATGCAAGTACCTGTTGTAATGACATCATTGGGTCAGAAGATCTCAACTGTGGCGGTTCAGTCAGTTAATGCAGGTGCACCGCTAATTACCAGCACTAGCCCAACAACAGCAACCTCTCCAAAGGTAGTCATTCAGACAATCCCTACTGTGATGCCAGCCTCTTCCGAAAATGGAGACAAAATCACCATGCAGCCTGCCAAAATCATCACCATCCCAGCTACACAACTTGCACAATGTCAACTGCAGACAAAGTCAAATCTGACTGGGTCAGGAAGCATTAACATTGTTGGAACTCCATTGGCTGTCAGAGCACTTACCCCTGTTTCCCTAGGCCATGGTACACCAGTAATGAGACTATCAGTACCTACTCAGCAGGCCTCTGGCCAGACTCCTCCCCGAGTTATCAGTGCCGTCATAAAAGGACCAGAGGTTAAATCAGAAGCAGTGACAAAAAAGCAAGAACATGATGTGAAGACGTTGCAACTGGTAGAAGAAAAGCCTGCAGATGGAAGTAAGACAGTAACCCACGTAGTAGTGGTCAGTGCGCCTTCAGCTATTGCCCTTCCTGTAACTATGAAAACAGAAGGACTGGTGACATGTGAGAAATAAAATGGCTGCACCATGGACCTAGACTGTTAGTGGGTAGTACTGATGATAAACATTTACAAAGGAGGTCATCAAGAAAAGTCCAAGGAAGACTTTAAAACATTTTTATTGCATATAAGAAAACAATCACACTTACTGGAAGTATATTACATATCCCATGTTTCAGTGGGAAATGAACTAAATGTTGAGATGCTGACAGAAAACTGCCTCTTACAGTAGGAAACAACTGAACCCATCAATAGGAAAAGGATTGAAAGGGACCAAGCAGCTCACTACAATATCAAGTTACACTAAGAGTTGGAACACTAACGTCTGTAAGAGGTTACATGGTTTTCAGTGGGAGGGGTTGGGATGGGTGATCTCATTGTTACATATAGCAATTTTTGATGCATTTTATATGCATACCAGCAATTATCACTGTGCTCGCACAGTACACACTTAACTGGTGCTATGTGAAGACTCTGCTAATATAGGTATTTTAGAATGTGAATTGAAGAATGGATCCAAAAGCTTCAGAAAGAGGATAGCAAAAAAGATCTAGTGCGATTTTTTTTATATATATATAATATATATATATATATATATCATATAGCTTAAGCTGATTTAAAACAAAGGCCTTAGACTAATTTTCGGTTTTCTTTCTTGGAATAAGCTAATGGCTTGTTTGTGTAAAGCTTTTTTTATTAAAAGAAAAATTTAAAAAATCTTGTACCTAGCACAGTATTGTTATAGAATTTACATGTAACATTTTATATGGTAGTTTAAGTCTGTCAGTTTCTTAATTGTGGACAAATTAACAGTTGGCCCTGGCCTTTTGCTGTAACATGCCTGTGTCACTCACTTAGCCCTGGCATCTGTGCAGACATATCAGTTTCAGTTCCTTCACTTGGAAGTTCAGGCTCAGCATGGATTTTTGTCAGGTAGCTCGAAAACCTGGAGCTAGCTAGCTTTTCTTTCTGTCTTTCTCTGTTTCTCCCTCCCTCTCCTTACTTCCTCCCTCTCTTTCCTGCCCCCTTTCCTCTTCTTTCTCTACTTTTCTTTTTCTTTTATTTTTTAGTTGATGTTTAAGAGGGAAAGTACCAGTGTTCAGATTTGAACTATAATAGTTTGTATATTCAACATTTGAAGTATATTCTATTTTGTTGTACTCTTGTTTCAAAGTGTATTCACGTAGGTTTTATGAAATATAGAAACAAAATTTATCTTGTGCTTTGGTCTCTGGTGATATTTTTTATCAGTGTTCAAAAGCCAGCATAGAGACGTTTTATAGTGAAGAAGTAATAACAGTCCTGTTGCTCCTTCCTGTTTTGTGAAGAAATTCTACTTCTGTTTTGTTCCATTATATTATTTGGCAGAGATCTACATGTTGCTGCTTCCTTTCCCATCGTCAGCACAGACTAATGTCCTACCTAGCATGGATTTACTATTAGCACTTGGCTATACTTAAAGAAAGAGCTTAGTTTTTGTAATTAGACTTCTTGAAGGTAAGAAGAATAAAGCACTTTAAACCAATGAGCAAATTGAGTCACCAGCAGAATTGCTACGTAAGTTACCTAATGTCACACAAAGCTAGGCGCTGTCACTGTATCAAGGCTGTCATGCAGCAGAGAAAAGTTGTCTACATTTCAGAAATTTAGATAAAGTTACAACTAATGTTTATGGCCTTTGTCCATTTGTGAATTTGATCAGGATTTCCCAGCAGCTTCTTCTCATGTTTGCCATAAACATGCCTGATGGTAGTTCTTAATAAAAACTCAAAAGCTTGTTTCCTACCCTGTTAGGGAGGTAATCACAAACTCTGTATCTTTCTACAACACGATTAAGTATTTTAGTTTGCAAAATTGACACTGTATGCTTTAGCAGTTAATTGTATTGTCTTCTCTGTTCAGTCATGGCTTCCATAATACTCGCCTAGGGCAAAGATTCTGTTTATACCGTGTCTGGAATCCACCCGAAATGCTGAGCATACAGTACACAGTTCAGATGTGATTTTGGCAGCATTTGCTAGGAATCTAAATCATATTCTATGGAGGACAACAAAAGGCAGTTAATTGACTCTAGCTAAGTAAAGCCAGGCCTACTTGTGTCTTTTTCAAAATAAATTTATTGGAAGTCTAGGTTTGGAATCATACTTGTTGACAGTACATAAGAATGCCTTTAGTTTTTTGTGGGAAATGGAATTGAGATAAACATTCTGATGCAAAAGAATTCTTTTTGAAGATTTATTTATATGGGCCCAGTGCCATGGTTCAATAGGCCAAGTCTCCACCTGTGGTACTGGCATCCCATATGGATATGGCTTCATGTTCCAGCTGCTCTATTTCTGATCCAGATGCCTGCTTGTGGCCTGGGAAAGTAGCAGAGGAAGGCTCAAGTGGACCCTGCTCCCACGCAGGAGACCTGGAGGAGGCTCCTGGCTTCAGATCAGCTCAGCTTTGGCCATTGTGGCACTTGGGGAATAAACCAGTGGATGGAAGAGGTCTGTCTGTATTCCCTTCTCTCTGTAACTCTGCCTTTCAAGTAAAAATAAAATCTCTATTTGAGGGGCAGAGTTAGAAGAAGAGACAAGACATTATCTTTTATCTGCTGGCTTACCCCCCAATGGCCACAAGAGCCAGGATTGGGCCCAGCAAAAGCCACGAGCCTAGAACTGTCTGGGTCTCTCATGGGGTACAAAGGTCCATGTGGGACTTGAAGGGCAAATAGGTCACTAATTCAACAAGATGGCAACTAACAAATCAAGGTCACTGTGGCGAACAAGATGGTGGCCAAGGGCAGAGCCCTGGGCGTGAACCAGGGCGGGGGTCATGTTGTTTTAAGGAAAAACTGATTGGCCAGGGCCAATTCTGATTTCGCTCACCTGCTCCTGGCGTATGGGAGGTGGCTTCCGCAGTGGTGCTGATGACAATAGGCTCCTAGTTGTCCCTTCCTGAAATTCCTGGCCTGAGCCTGTTTGCTGCTCTATATAAGAATTTGTATTTCCCAAACAAACCAGAACAGCTTAGACGGATCCTCTGTTGATCTGTGTGTTTCTCGTGTGCCAGGAAGCTGGATGGTGGGGAACAGGCTCACCCCATTCAGCAGTGGGGTACTAGAGGAATCTATCCGAAAGACACCACAGATCCCAAGAATGCTTCCCTAGGCATGTTATCAGGGAGAAGTGAAATCTGCATTGCAAATGGCAGCTTAACTGGCTGTGCCACAAGGCAAAAGATTTTGGAAACCCATGTACATTAAAGCTGTTTAAAGCATCAAGAATAGTGCTGGTGAAAACTGCATGGATACAAAAATTTGGGGCATGATAAAGCCATTTTCTTCTTTTAATAGTACTCTTGTGTACTTATAGGAGATTTTTAATTTTTTCATTTGCTGATTTTCATTTTGTCTGGAAGACAGAAAAGATGTTTGATGCACCAGTTTGCCCCTCAGATACTCTCAATAGCCAGATCTCAGATCCAGGCAAGGTGCTTGGAACTTGACCCAGATCCCCACTGGGTTGGCAGGACCTAAGCAGCAGAACCAGCATCTGCTGCCTTCTGGGGTGTTCCCTAGCAGGAAGCTGGAGTCAGACGTGGAGTGAGGACTTGATCCAGACATGCTGGAACTCTGCATGGGCACCCTAACTACTGCACCAGTCATACACAGAATGTTTTGTGTCTCTGCTTATTGGATTTTAATCTCAGCTCCTCCAAACTGTAAATGGTTATAACTTTGTAGTGTATCAGGGAAACCACCTAACTATGGCTTGATGTCATGTTTGCATGCCTCACCAGGCCTCTGAACTTGTGATCCAAGCTATCCATTGTTTCTTTTTTTTTTTAAAGATTTATTTTTTATTATTTTTTCATTGGAAAGGCGGATATACAGAGAGGAGAGACAGAGAGGAAGATCTTCCGTCCGATGATTCACTCCCCAAGTGAGCGCAACGGGCCGATACTATGCCGATCCGAAGCCAGGAGCCTCTTCCGGGTCTCCCACGCGGGTGCAGGGTCCCAAAGCTTTGGGCTGTCCTCGACTGCTTTCCCGGGCCACAGGCAGGGAGCTGGAAGGGAAGCGGGGCTGCCGGGATTAGAACCGGCGCCCATATGGGATCCCGGGCGTGCAAGGCGAGGACCTTTAACCACTTGCGCCACCGCGCCGGGCCCCTATCCATTGTTTCTTAAGAAAATTTCCAGTAACAATTTTGGCTTTCACCACCCTTCTCATTGGGGAAATGTAATGCTTAAAAAGAAAGATTTATCTGGAGGGCAGAGAGTAAGCTTTGGTCCACTGACTGTTCACCCTGCAGATGACCGCAGTGGGTAGAGAGCCAAGAATTCCATCTGGGTGTCCCATGTGGGTCACAGGGGCCCAAGCACCTTGGTGACCATTATCTGCTGTCTGTCCATGAGCATTAGCAGGGACCAGATTGGAAGCAAAGCAGTGGGGACTCAAACCAGCGCTCTGGGGAGCTCGCAGCACATACTTTCTTAACCTGCTATGCTCTAACACTGGTCCCTGTTTCACCTCTCTAAAGTTCAGTGTAGTCATGAGCAGTGAAATCCCTCAGTTTCTGGATCCTGTACTACCAGAGGACATACTTATCCCAGTGCCCACCATTATCTCTTGATCTCCTTATCTCCTTATCAGCTTAATGAGCTCCCTGGCTCTGCTCTTTAGCTAATAGCCTTCCATCTAGACTTTGGTTTTTGAACAAATATGGATACCTTTAGTCACTCAACTATCAAATCAGACACTATTTTTCTTGTTACCTGTAGCCTTGGCCTACTTTTAAAAACTTGCTTGGTTTTCCATTGCAGTGTCTGGCTTACTTTGTGTGTAACCGACTCTCCTTTTTGCTTCCATTTGGTTTTTCAGGAAGGGTTCTGTCTGTCGACAGACTCCTTTCCTCAGTTGTAAACAGTTAATGTGGAGGATTTGTAATCTGACACAAAGCAAATACTACTGAGCATCTGTTATTTCACTTTGAATTGTTAGATAATCTCATGCCACTAGGTTTTAACTTAGAAGGCTTTATCTGCTTATGAACTGGTTTTCTTAATTTTGACCTGTAGACACCTTTCTAGTCACTCACTTGACCCCCTGGCTATCCTTTGCTGCTTTTAGCTCACCAAACATGCTGCCAGTTTAGAGCTTTCCAAAAATCAAATGGTGTAACTCACTCCAGTGTGATTATTTTAAACCCTTGAATGGCAGCTCTGTATTTAAGAAAAGTGGGCCTAAATAGGCTGTAAAACCATTGAGTTTCCCCAAGATGCTTGTTCTTACTACATATATATATTTTGATTTGGGAGAAAAGTTTGCTTGGGATGGAATTTTGGCATCATGGGGTTAACCTGCCTCCTGGGACACTAGCATCCCAGAACAGAGTACCTGGAATTGAGTCCCATATCTCCTTCTAAAGCATCTTCTGCTAATGTGCCTAGGAGGCAGCAGGTGATGGCTCAGTGCATGAGGCCCTACTAAGGGGAGTTCCAGGTTCCTCACCGCAACCTGGTCCAATCCTGGCTGTTAGGAGCATCTGGTTCAGAAAACAGGCAAAGTATCTTTAACTGATCTGTGGATTGTGAGTTATAGGACATTACTAGGGTCCCCCAAGAGGCCAGGATTAAATTCTCAGTTCTTGGGTTCAGCCTGGCTGAGTACTGGCTGTTGGGGTATTAGGAGGAGTGAACCAGCAGGGAAGTTCTTGTCCTGACTTTGTATCTCATCTCAAATAAAATGAAACATTCAGTGGAAAAAAGGGGTATGTCTAAATATTACAGATGGTTTTTTTTTTTAAAGAGATTTACTTATTTTTATTACAAAGTCAGATATACAGAGAGGAGGAGAGACAGTGAGAAAGATCTTCCATCTGATGATTCACTCCCCAAGTGAGTGCTACGGCCGGTGCTGCGCCAATCCGGAGCCAGGAGCCAGGAGCCAGGAACCTCTTCCAGGTCTCCCATGCAGGTGCAGGGTCCCAAAGCGTTTGGGCCATCCTCGACTGTTTTCCCAGGGCACCAGCAGGGAGCTGGACGGGAAGTGGAGCAGCCGGGACTAGAATCGGCGCCCATATGGGATCCCGGCACGCTCAAGGCGAGGACCTTAGCTGCCACGTATCAGGCCCACAGATGGTTTTAAAAAAACAACCAACAACCAACCCATGCCTGTATATTTTATGGATGTTAAGGCCATTTCTCTCCCATTTACATCTCTTTTTGGTGGATTTTTGTGGGATGTCTCTTTACCAGTCAGATGAAGATATATTTCCTATATCCAGTTTCCATCATTTGGGTGATACTGTACATATGGGCTGCTGTAACCCTGTCCATCCACATGCTTGGGTACAAGATGTTGAAGGCTGAGTCCATTTGTGCTGCTTTATTGCTGAAGAGAATTTCACACATAACATATTTTAATGGAAGATAAAAATAAATGGAAAATAAAATCTAGTAAGACAAAAGTTAGTGTACAAAGCAAGTGCTATCAAGTGTTACATAGAACTCCACTCTAATACTGGTTTTCAGGGTCCTGGTAGCCAAAACATAAGAAATAACCAGTTGGGATCATACAGGTTGAATTTACCAGACTGAAAAGCAGTAAATACTTATGTAGTATTCTTCCAGGTGAACTTTGCATACTATGTAAATGTCTGCCAAAGAAATACGGAGAACATGGACCTACAAAGTGGCTGTTTTGTCATTGAAAGGCAGATTTTATGGAGAGGAGACAGATCTTCCATTCACTGGTTCATTCCCCAAATAGCTAGAGTGGCCAGAGCTGGGCCAGTCCAAAGCCGCGGCCCGGGAGCCTGCTGCAGGTCTCCCAAAGGATGCGCTTGAGCCATTCTCCACTGCTTTCCCAGGCCATAAGCATGGAGCTGGATTGGAAATGGAGCAGCTGAAACACAAATACCCATTTGGGATGCTGCACTGTGAGCAGAAGCTGATGCCACGGTGCCGGCCTCTAGGCAGGTGTTTCTGCTTCATAAACCGAAGGAAAATTGTCCACAAAATTGAATAACCTAGTCACTAATTTACAACCTCACAGCTGCCTTCAGGGTTGTTTCCTTGGGCTAGTAACAGAAGTAGGTTAATGGCATGAGTTATATAGGCCCTTTGTTTTGTATCTTAAGCATTTAATGACTACAATGTTATTTACAGACATCTGATAAATTGAGGAGGACAAGTGATGATAAACTCAGGATGAAGAAACCAGAGCCTCAGAGATAGTGGGCCTTGTTCAGGGTCACAGTCTCAGCTGGCTTTAGGCTTCCAATCTGTGCTCTTCAAAATGTTCCCAAATGTAGGGTTTTGCCATTTTTGTGTTCAACAGTTATGCCTGTTCTATTATCTGTTCAGTGTGGATGAAAAGCCTGCTTGTGCCTTTTTTTGTTGTTGTTTTGTGATTCATTTATTTTCAAGGCAGGATTAGGGAAGGTGCATGGGGAAGGGGTTCCCCATCCACTCCCTGAAATGGCTGCCACAGCTCGTATTGGACCAGACCGAAGTCGGGAGCCAAGAGCTTCCTCTGGGTCTTTCATCTGGGTGGCAGGGGCTCAAGCACTCAGGCCATCGTTGGCTGCTTTCCTAGGCCATTAGCAGAGAGTGGGATCATTAGTGGAGCATCTGGGACATGGACCGGCTAGTGTTGCAGATGGCAGTTTAACCCAGTAAGCCACAGTGCTGGCCGTGTCATGTTTCACCCTTACAGAAAGTTAATCGTAGTTCCTTATGTAAGCACACCCACTTTTGGGATGATATTTTCTAACACTGAAATAAACTATAATTACACATGCTTTAATTTTACCTTTTCAGAATTTAAAGCTCAACTCATTTGAAAGTGTTTGTGTACAGTATTCCCGTGTTAACAAATCTTAGACGTCTTTTAAATGTAGAATGCATCCAGTTCGTTTAAATACAGCTAGCATAGCTGTGCTTACTGCTTCCTTTTTAAAGAGCTACCACTGAAGTATGCAAACAGTATCAGATGTTCTATTCTTGGCAAAATGAAACTTCACTGTGTGCGATTAAGAAAAGCCACTATGTTGGCAGTTACTTAGCTTTTCCTGATACTGCATATGCCTTACAAGTCTTGACTTTACACTGACCATTTTTTTAATTTAACAGATTTATTGATTCTCCGCATTCCTTGTTCACTTTGTCCTCCCTTAGAACCAAGGGGACAGGTGGTATAGAAAGCAGCACTTTGTGGAGTTGAGACTAACCCAGATTTGAATCTTGTCAGCTACTACTGTCTTTCCATCTCTCAAGGCCAGATTCAAGATTATACATGGGGCCAGAATTTTGAGCACATTAAGCTGCCTGTGATGCTGGCATCCCATATGGGCACCAGCTGCATTTCTGGTTGCTCTGTTTCCAATTCAGCACACTGCTAATGCACCTGGGAAAAAGATGGACCAAGAACGTGGGCCCCTGCCACCCAAATGCGAGACGTGGATGGAATTCTAGGCTCCCAGACTGAGTCTGGTTCAGCCATGGTCTTAGCAGCCATCTGGGAAGTGAGCCAGAAGATGGGAACTCCATCTCTTTAAAGTAAGGAATTTTTAAAAGATTTATCTTTCCGGAGGAAAGGAGAAACAAAGATTCTCCATCTGCTGGCTCATTCCCCAAATGGCTGCAGTAGCTAGAGCTTAGCCGATAAGGAGCTAGGAACTTCTTCCAGTTCCATGTAGTGCAGGGTCCCAGGGACTTTGGCCATTCTACAGTAGCTTCCCAGGTCATAAGCATAAGCAGAGTGTAGGAAAAGAAGTACAGCTGGAACCAGAACCGGTGCCCACATGGAATGCCAGACCATGAAGATGGAGAATTGGTCTGTTAAGCCACAGCATCAGCCTCCCAAATAAAGAAATCTTTTTTTAAAAAAAGGAACTCAAACCTATTTATTCCAAGGTATACAACATAAAGCTTTATCAGATAAATTGAGGCAGTCATTAATAATGAAAGGATAAATGCAGAAGGGACTCTACCGAAATGTGTGAGGGAAAAGCAAAATCCACACCACTCAAGTCTGCACAGTTCAAGTTCTTTAGGACTTATTTTGAGGACAGAATATTGTGTATGCTATAAAAGGAAAAACAGAACCAAAGATATTTACCATATTCCTTTAGTCTGACCAAAGAACCAAGAAAACCAAATGAAACCCAACAAGATGTAAATGTGTAAAATTTTACATGGGATTATACATTACTCTTAAATGAAGACAAATACAAATGCAGCAAACAGCATCACTGAGTCAGTGCTGAGCCTGGGGCTGTGGTAACTCCAAGGAGTTAATCCACAAGAAGCTTTAAACACAGCAATCCCCTGGCTGCCTTTCTGCCCAGTGGTAGACCCAGCCCACCTGTGGGGAGTGGGGTGCTGAAGCCACTCGGATTGGGAAGGGACGTAGCAAGATGGCAGCTGGCCCAGGGCCAGGAGGCGGAGTTGGTCTCACCAGCAGGTAAACAGGAAGCCACAGGGATAGGCTAATGCCCCCCGCTGTGATTATGTCATTGCTACTATCCTATCACGAAGAGCCAAGTGAACCCATGGGGCGATGTGATTGGTAGAGAATGATATAAAAGCTAGGGGGCGGATGACGAGGACAAAGACAGATGAGAAAGACTGGGGGGCGGGAAGAAGGGTGGCGGAAAGGAGATGGAAGTACGGGAAGAACGGGAGGAAGGTGGAGGAAAGATGGCTGGACAGCTAGGAGGAGGAAAGACCAATGGGGACAGGGGAGATAAGGATTTAAACGTGGCCGCTTTTGGCAGTGAAGGGTCGGGTTGCGGTTCCGGCTTTTCCCAGACCCTCAAGAGTGTGCCTCATCATTTTTAGTGTCGCCTGCATCCCTTGATCCACACCCAATGAAGCCATGAATGCGCGGACAGTGGACAACACCTTCTCACCCAGATTTGCTTAGGGCTGGTACGGGTTCCTTTCAGGTTGGCACTCTGTGGTAGGTACGTGAAATTTAATGCTTACAGTAACCAGGGTTCTAATCAGTATCCTGTGAACCAGTAGCTCAGTTGATGCAGATGTTCTGGTTTGCTGGCAGCCCCAAGCTTTTGTGTATGTGGTGTTACTGATAATCTGGTTGTCTGAGCCCAATGTAGAGTATTAGAATAAAACATCTTCAGGATCTCCACTTCGGTGCCAAGGGACCACAAAAACATGCAGCCTGAAATCCACCTGTGCCCAGCTTTAAAACGAGGGCTCTGAGTGTACGTGGATATTGTGGGTCACCATGTAATAAAAAGGTCCAGTTTACTTCCAGCCTTATTGGACTAAAGAGACCAGATATTAAACAATACTAGCTTTAAAAGACCATTTATTAAACATGTACAACTGAAACATTAAAGTATTTATGACTTATTACTGACAAGTAATTTTCACCTCTTTTCTGATGAAGTTCAGGTTATCGTTACACTTTTCACACAAGTCAGCCGGTAGCTTTCAGGGCAGTCCATTAACAGGCTCTCTACAGTTTCCCATCAGAACAGAGGGTCCCACCTAGCAAGCGCCTTGTAACAGATGCTAAACAAACTATGTACAAATGGCAATGCTGCATACTTCCGTTTTATACCAGTGTTAGTCCATGGAAATGCATAAATACAGAACAGTGAGTAAACAATGAAAACTGATTAATTGGAAACTAACTGGAAACCTCTTTAGCACAATAACGCGGGACATGGAGGCAGGGCAGGGGTTATTTTTGAAGAATGCGTCAAGAAGACTTGATACGCTTCAATAGCAAACAGCTTCAGGCTACAACAGTTCTTTTGCACGTATTAATGTCATGGTTCCAAATGTTCATAAATGCTCCAATTATTCTCAATTTTACACAAAGATACAAAAATAAATATTGCCATGCATGTCTTGCTGACACTGTAAAAACTCACAAATAAATAACCTGAAATGCTGCCTACAGAAATTACTCCTACATACTTACTGTTAATGATGGAGGACTCAACCAAGCCTGAGCTTTTATAGCAATCCTCATACTGAGAAATCACCACGTCTCACTTAATGCCCTTTGAATGATCAAAATGTAACGCTGAGGGAAAGGAAAGAATACAAGCCAAAACTGGAGTGCAAAAACCTTTTTCCACTGTAGGTTTTAATGGAAAGAGTTTGTGAACTAATGGGATTCTTTCCTAAGGGCAAGCTGGTAACATGGAAAGTGAAGGTCCTGAAACTGGGACTCCTTCCTGGGGCAACTCCTATTTCAGTTTCCTGCAACATCCCTGCTTAAGACTCTTGTGATCATAAAGATGCAGACAGTCCTTCATAAAAGTGCATCGGGTTCCTCGTTAAAGCTGAAGTCGCACACCAGTGACAGGTGGTCTGAAGGATAATTGAAGGAAGGGAGCCGGTTGGGCCCAATCTGCTCTTCAGTGAGTAAATCTAGAGCAGCCCTCACGCTGAGCGCGTGCTTAGAGTACCAGATATAATCCAGCGTGTGGCGGCACTCCCCCGAGGTGCGGATCTTCCACGTGGTGTACGGGGGCTCTGACTGCCCGTCAGCGCTCAGCAGCTTGTAGGCGCTGTTGAGGTTGAGGCTGGAGGAAGCGAAGTGTTTGTAGACCTCTTCTGTTGGCTCTGCGTTGAAGTCCCCACAAACGATGAGAGGAATCTTGGCTCCCTGGGTGATGTTCTGCAGGTTCTGGAGAAGGTCACAGCCCTGAGCTGACCGAAACCGCTCCCACCCAGTGCGTGCTTTTAAGTGGGTGACGGCGATGCAGAACTGTCGACCTGATTCCTTGCACTCCAGGGTCTGTGCGATGGCCACCTGATTGGTTTTCAATGTCATAGCTGTCAGCCTGATATTGGCACTGTTGATGAGCTTGAATCGATTTTGGAGAAAAAACAAGGCACAGCCGTCGGGGCCATTGTTGTGTTCAACATCGAGACACGGCGACCAGGGCTTGGGGAAAAATGTGCCCTGGTAGCCCAGTCTACTGAGGAGTGGCTGGAAGGTGTCGAAGTAGTGGTCCACCTCTTGGAGGCACAATATATCAGGCTGGTAGGCTAGGATTTCTTCTAGGATGAGACACTTCCTCTCCTCCCATTTGAGGGCCTCCAGAGGACACTGGACAAAGTTGTCTTTGCCTTCGCCAAGAGCTGAAAAGAAAGGGGCTGTCAGCTTCTGTAGGTCCTGGACGTCAGAGTGCCCAGGAGCTGCCTTGGCCCTCCCAGTGCTGCTGCTTCCTCTGTGCACAGGCCTGGGGGCATCCATCTCTGCTCTGCAGAGGCTCCCCAAACTATCCTAAACAGGTCCTCACCACGTGGAGGGAGCTAGCAATTGAGTTTTCCTTCGCATGACAATGAGTTCCCTTAAGTGTACTCCAAGACAGAACTGCAGGGGGGAAGCAGTGTTCCTGCAGGATCTACAGCTCTACATGCTGCTTTCAACACTGACAGATGAGGCTTGGATGAATAGGACCTAATGAACGCGGGCTGCTCTTCCTAAAAGTAATCACAAAGCTTGGTCCTTTTCTTGGAGGGCAGTGGGGGGAAGTGGCTGGGGTGGGGGAAAGACGGGGAGGGCGTTGTTTTCTTAAAATTAAATGCCCCATAAAAGGCAATGCTACAGAATGTTGACACCATCTGTTTTGAATTCAAAAAGACACAGGAAAGGAGTCCTTTTTCCTTTAAAAAAAATAGTGCCTTAATGTACAGAGAATTGAGGCCGCATCTTTTTAGTCTGAAATTATAAAGATGAGCACGGTCGAGAATCTTGCCACAGGAATATCCAGCCTTTCCGCACCGCCCACCCCAGCTGCCATTCCCTTCAAATGCTCTCCCAGGGCTGCACAGGGACGCCGGATGCAACACAAGCTCTGGGGCTGTCCCACTGAATTCCTAGTTAGTGGTATGGGCCTGTCCCTTTGGATGTTCTGGGAGGAGACTTTCACTGTTCCGGGCTAACTCACAAACATGAAAGCTAAGGAATAAATCTTTTTAAAAAAAATTTGAGAGACAGCTCTCATAAGCTGGTTCACCCAAATGCCCACAGTGGGCCCTGGCTGTGGCTTCCTTTGGGAGCTGGGCAACGATCCAGGTCTCCTATGGACGCAATCACTTAGGTCCCTCAGGGCCTACCTGGGCAGGGAGCTGGAGCTCAGAGTGGAGCTGGGAATCGAACCCAGGCTCTCCAGTATGGGGCACAGAAAGCTTTACTACTAGGTCAAACACCTGCCCCAGAGTAAATCTGTTCTTGGTGGAAAACAATACTCCCTTTTCTAATTTCCCTGCCTGGGACTCCTCAGGCTGCTCTACCTGCCCCATCCTTCTACACTTGCGACTGCCCCTACTTCTCACTCATTTAAGATGCCAGTGCACTGTTCATGCACAGAAGTAAAAAAAATCCACTGGCACGGTGGCTCAAGGGTAATCCTGCACCTGTGTGGGTTGGGGGGTGGGGGGGCTGGTATCCATCCAGCAGAAAGCAGTGGAATCCGACAGACCAACTCCTTGGGACCTTGCACCCATGTGGGAGAACTGGGAAGAAGCCCCTGGCTCCCAGCTTTAGATTGGCTGAGCTCCAGCCTTTGTGACCATTTGGAGAGTGAATCAGTACATAGAAGACCTCTCTCTGTAAAAGTCTGTCTTTCAAATAAAGTAAGTCTTTTTTAAAAAGCAGCAGCAAAGAAGCAGGCAGAGAGCACAGGCGCCTGCTCCGAGCGGGGCCTACCTTGGGCGAGGATGTTCCACTGCATGACCCTGATGGGTGGGTGGCTGCTGGGGCAGTCTGTCCTCACATCCACAAAGTCCCTCTGGAAGCGTGGCGGCCGGGTGTGCAGCACGGCCCTGCATTCCTCCAGCAGCTCCTTGGGGTCGATGGGCTCCAGATGGTCCGAGTCGGGCGACACTAAATACTCGGGGTGCTGAGAGGCAGCGCTGCTGTTGAGCGTCTTGGCGAGCGCGCTGTAGAGTCTGCTTGTCCCGTTGCCCATGGAAGACGCTATGGGGGAGAAAAGCACAGATGCACCATCAGCTCCACCTCCCGACTGGGTCCTCCAGCTTGGCAGTTGGAGAAAGCATCCACTGTTAGGAACAGCAGAGGCTTGGTGCAGGCAAGGTCCCCACACACACCAGGCCACCTGTCTACAGGCATAAAGGAGTGTCCAGGTTCTCGCTATTGAAATGCTACTATCAAAGCTAGTCTCCAACTAATCTGAAATAACTTTTTAAAAAAAATCTCGTATGCTTTTATTGGAAAGGGCAGACATAGAGGGTTCACTCCACAAATGGCCACAACAACCTGAAGCCAGGAGCCAGGAGCTTCTTCCAGGTCTCCCACTTTAGGATCTGAAGCACTGGGCCATCCACCTCTGCTTTCCCAGGATATAAGCACGGAGCTTGATGGGAAGTGGAGCAGCTGGAACACGAATTGGTGCCCCTGAGGACCCAGCGCTTAATGATAGAGGATTAGCCAGTTGAGCCAATGTGCTGGACCTTTTAAGAGATATGCTGGGCTCAGTGTGGTAGCCTAGTGGCTAAAGTGCTTGCCTTGCATGTGCCGGGATCCCACGTGGGCACTGGTTCATATCCCAGCAGCCCCACTTCCCATCCAGCTCCCTGCCTGTGGACTGGGAAAGCAGCTCAGGGATCTGCACCCGTGTGGGAGACCTGGAAGAGCCTCCTGGCTCCTCTTAGGTTCAGCTCCAGCCGTTGTGGCCGCTTAGGGAGTGAATCAACAAATGGAGGCTCTTCCTCTCTGTATATCTGACTTTTCAATAATGATAAATAAATGTTGGACCCCTGGCACAATGGTGAAATGGTTAAGGTCCTCGCCTTGCACACACCGGGATCCCATGTGGGCACCGGTTCTAATCCTGGAAGCTCCACTTCCCATCCAGCTCCCTGCTTGTGGCCTGGGAAAGCAGTGGAGGATGGCCCAAAGCCTTGGGACTCTGCACCCGCATGGGAGACCTGGAAGAGGTTCCTGGTTCCCGGCTTTGGATCGGCACAGCAACTGCCGTTGAGGTCACTTGGGGAGTGAACCATTGGATAGAAGATCTTCCTCTCTGTCTCTCCTCCTCTCTGTATATCAGACTTTGTAATAAAAATAAATAAATCTTAAAAAAAAAATAAATTTTAAAAACAAGAAAAATGTCTTGATCTTGAAGGCTTCTTCTCACCTACAACCTTTTTTTAAATCTGTAAACCCAATGTTACAAAACATGACTGAACACAATCACGTGTCTTCCAGTATAATTTAGCATAAGCTTGAAGCTGTGCTTGTAAGCAATACAATGTCACACAGCCCGTGGGATCCAGGGCAAGGTGCTGGGTCCAGCAGCTGCTGCTCGGGCATCATTAGCTGTCTAGATCTCTCCAGCATGGAAAAGGATGGCCAGGTGGGGTTGCAGCCCACCTCTCGGAGGGGTAGTGTGACCTAGGCCTTGGGCTTTCTGTGGAACTCTGAGCATCATGTTGAGTTTTAAAAACAAGAGTTTGGGGCGGGGAGAAGAAGGGAGCTAACAGCAAGACAGGACATCGTCCTTTTCACAATTTTCCTGTTTGCTGGGTTTCTGGCAAGAGTGAAGGGCAGGAAGGACCGCCAACACTGTCTTCATGAGAATTTTCTAGTGTTTTGCTTGGTTGCAATTCATTAAGGAGAACAGAGGGCGATACTCATCAGCATGAGAGGCTGTAATTGTCAGTTCCACTCAAAGTGCTGATTACTCTTTCAGAGGTCGGCCACTTTTTCTCTCTTCATTATAAATCAGGAGCAACATTTACGCAGGAGTAACCCCAACATTCTGTGCCTGATGAATGTTAGTACCAGGCTATCTGTATATCCCTCGCACAACCATATGCCAGAGTCCAGCTCCAACTGAGTTTGGAACTCGAGAAGGGTGCATGGATGAGGCATAAAGAGGAACAAAACGGACCACTACAACTCCATGATCATCACGGACAATGCAATAAAGCTGTCCGCTTTACTTATACAGAAACCTTCATAAGGGCTGGGTTAAACTTCACACTTAGGCAAGTGGGCATTCCTAAGGATAGTTCTACCAACTGTTTCACCTTGAGGCAGGATTCAGCCTTCCTAACCCTGAAGTCAGGAAGTTACATTAATCAGTTACACATTCCTACTACAATCCTCATTCTACAACTTAGTCTTAAATCAGTTAAGGCATGAGAAAGGCATCAAGGAAGGAAGGACCTAAAGAAAGATTAGCATATGGCCAATGGGGGGAGGAGAATTCTAAGTAAGCAAAGTTTTCTGCTATACCCTTGATTAACACAGAATCAAAGGGGGACTTAACACCCTTGATCAGCATATGGTCAACGGGTGTAGCCTATTAGCAATAATGAAAGGCCTTTTGGCTAAAACGGTATCAGCAACATCAACTTCCAAGCTCACTCCCCAGAGGCAGACAATGCCTAAATAAATTATAGAAATCTCAGCGGGATTGTCCGGTGTCCATGCAAAGGGAGGTGGAACTGCATTCAGGTGGCCGTAGAGACATCCACTGGGCCCTGACAAACAGCGGGGAAATTCCTTGTGGCCCTGCCTGCAATGGAACAGTTCTCTACACCTTCCTGTCTTCCACACCCATCTGGCGGACCCCAGCAACCATATCCCTGTACTCTCTTTGTAAAATATGGACGTTTCATAAAGATTTTCTTATAAAATTTGCAAATAATCACATCTCAAGCAGTCAAATTCACTATGGCATGTCCAGGGCAAATCCAGGGGCCAATGGCATAGCTGAATAAGCCCTCACCTGTGGTACCTGCAAGCCATATGGGTGCCAGTTCCTGTTCTACTTCTCATCCAGCCTCCTGCTTGTGGCCTGGGAAAGCAGCAGAGGGTGGCCAAGTGCTTGGGCCCCTGGCTCCCACGTGGCAAACCTGGAAGAAGCTCTGGGATCCTGGCTTCAGACTGGCCCTGCCTTGGCCACTGTGGTCACCTGGGGAGAACTGATGGATGGCAGGTATCTCCTCCTCTCTCTGTACTTGTTTCAAGTAATTAAGTAAATAATAGTAAGCAAATCCAAATAGACACTACCAAAAATCCTTGATCACCAAGGTCAGCAAACAGCAAGCACATTCTTTTGTTCTTTTTCTGACTCAAACAAACTGCTCTGCCTGCCTTCAAGCTCAGTGAGAAAATGAGACTTAGGCAAACATACTGGTTTTCCCAACCCACAGTCAGGTGTGTTGCGCAGCTGCACCATGCATAGTTTCTCACACACTCCTGTTTCCAAACTGTTTGATCACAGAATTTCAAATCGATCATGCTTGATGTGCATGCCTATCTGAGCATATGGGTCCAAAGAAAGACAAATTCTTCCAGGGTGGAAGAAGTCTTCTCAAAGTCCTTCCTTATACTTTAGTTAAATGCCCTTGAATTCAGTTTTCAACTGTGGTCTCCAGGAAGGCCAATCACTTGGGGTTGCAATCACTGAATTGTGAGGGTGTCCCATGGCACCACAGCAAACTCAAGGGACTATGAAGTATTTAAAACATGAAATACACAGGACAGTTTGACATCTGCGAGGCTGCAGGCAAACTTCTAGACTAACTGCCAAGGAGCCTTTGCTCTAATTCTGTGTCTGTCCACTCAGATCTTGTAGCAAAGGTGAACTGATGCAGACTGAACGCCAAACCATTTACAAATGCTGTGGCCCAGGCCAAACCCTCCACAACTGTACTGGAAAGCTGATTAATGAATGCCCTGCTGCATAATGAGCATGAGAGCAGGACACACAGGGATGGTTCTGGAAGGTTTCCATTCATCTACTTTCCTTCCAATTTACTTTGGGGCTCCTGTGTGCCAGACTCTGTCCTCATTGTGCACCTGACCACTTAATCACCCTCTTTTCTTATGAGATTTATTTATTCAGTTTTCTGAAAGTCAGGGAAGGGAGGTGGGGGTATGGAGGGAGGGAGACAGATCTTTGAAGTGTCTTCTCTCAGGTAGAGGGACCATCACTTGGAAAATTCTTCTTCACCTAATCTAACTGCACAGTCCTCACCCAAGTCTCACTGTGGTGTGAGTTTTATTTCAAAAGCAGAGTTAGAGTGAGCATCCGTCCACTGGTTCACTTTCTTCCAGGTGGCCCCAACAGCTGGGGCCGGGCTGGATGAAAGTCAGGAAGCCTGGAGCTTCTTCCAGGTCTCCCATAAGGGGGCAAGAAGAGCCCAAGGATTTGAGTCATCCTCTGTTGCTCTCCCAGGCCATTAGCTGACAGTGATTCCAGAGTGGGGGCAGCTGGGCAGAAACTGGCGCTCAAAAGGGATGTTGGTGTCGCAACAGGTTTACTCACAATGCTGGCTCTTAACCTCACTTTTTCTTGGTAAAGAGTTATTATTTTTATTAAAAAGTCAGAGGTACAGAGAGGAGAGACAGAGTAAAATCTTCTGTCCAATGATTCACTCTCCAATTGGCCACAATGGCTGGAGCTGAGCCAATCCACATGAGCCAGGAGCTTCCTCTGGGTCTCCCACACAGGTGCAGGTCCCAAGGCTTTGGGCTGTCCTCAACTGTTTTCCCAGGCCACAAGCAGGGAGCTGAATGGGAAGCAAGGCCACCGGGATTAGAACTGGCACCCATATGGGATCCCAGTGCATGCAAGGCAAGCACTTTAGCTGCTAGCCCATTGTGCTAGGCGCAACTTCACGCTCTTGTTTTCTGATCTAGTGAATTTGGGGAATGGTACCCTATACCAATAAAAGGTCAAGTACTGAAGCTGAGTAATAACAGAAATCAGACTTGGGTATGGAGTGGGTACTGGTGACAGCATCATTTACTTGGGTCAAATTTGCATATTTGGTAGCTCCTTTTTTTTCAAACGCTTGAGTGCCCACTGTGCATTAGACTGTCTTTGCTACAGCAAAACACGTGAAGCAGCAGCTAACTTTATAAAGAGGAAAGATTCACTGAGCTCAGTTTTTTGGAGGCTCAAGTCCAGGAATGGTCAGCCCCAGTGGACTGGGCCTGCT